ACAGAGCCCAAGTGACAACTGCATAGTCGTATTTTTCTAACGTGGCAGGCGCTAGCTCACGGTGGCAGATAGTATTATCCTCATCTTCCTTCTCGTTTTGATATTCACGTGTGAAACCACGTGATGCGGCACGTGCAATACGCTCCTGGAGGGCTTTCTGGAGATTGTTTTCGGAGAACATATTTTGGATGGTAAAGAAATTCAAAGAGAATCATGGCAGAGCAAGAGAATGGCCTCAGGGCTTTGTATTTATGTCTTTTTCTTGGGACTGGCATAGGTTCAGAGTGAGTTGGCCCCTATCACCTCAAGGGTGAGAATTGTCACTCCGTTCTCACCTCTCTCACCCCAGTCTCGAGACTTCTCACCCATATCACCCGCACTCACCCTAGAGTGTCGCTTAGGTGCTGAGGGCACGTTGACTATTGACTGTGCAGAATATGTGGCTTAAGTACGGCTGAGCGGACGGGAAGCCCTGTTTTCCACACCCTATGGTCGTATGTGTCAGGTTCCGTGTGGAAGAGGACTATATGGGACAAAAAAATGGGTGTAGGTAATGTGTGATAATATGGAAAGGTAAGTGCACCCAACCCTCTATCGACGAAACCCATGGTGCAATCTATGTATGCTGTTGTACGTTTTTGATTTTTTTGCTCTGCAAGTTTCTTCGCTCAACTATCCTACCGATGTAGTTGGTTTACGTTTCTCATTGTAATACCCAGTGGTCTACTACATTTTTCGATTTATCTAGCAGACAATATCTTGAGTTATTTAGAAAGACGATTATAACTGCTGCAGTAAACTCTGCAGCATTCTCATAGGTAGTTTCTGTCAATCTAAAATTCCTCACTTCAAAAAGGCTCAAATTGATTATAGGACCGAGGTTATGATCATGCAGAGAATGCAAGTTGAAGAGGTTCTGCCGAATGGTCCTCTGCCATATTTAAGGCATCGGCAGTCTACTTTGCCCTGGAGCCTAGCGCCTTTCGGATAATAGTGAAAATTTCAAACCCGACCGGCTCGCACCCTAGAAAAATGAGGTGCAAACCCGGAGCTGCCAAAAATGTCACGAGTAAACATTGCGCTGTCGCAAAACACTGCCGGGCACCAGCGATGTCAAACATGGGATGGAGTATACTTCCTCCGCCAGGTCACGCACCATGGAAGGGAAAACGGGCATTGAAAGCAGAGCTGGTGTCGCGTGTGCAGAATCTCGAGCTAAAGCTGCAGCAAGTCAACCAGGGAAGGTTCAACATTGATTCGCTCTCTGTCATCTTCTGCTGGCTATCAAAGAAGACATTCGGGATCAAAGTAGACTGTACCATTTGAATTCCTAACGATCAAGCGTGTCTTGTTGATGGGCCAGGAGGTTTCAGACCCCGATTTCCACCGGTCGATGGTGACTTCGGGCTACTCTGTATGGAGATTAACTTCCGATAGCCACATTCACCCCCTATCTTGCTCGATCTACCTGGTGCTGAGCATCATGAAAAAAGGGCTGGGCAAGTCTCTTGCGTCTCCGTGGATTTCACCCGCCCGTCTGCATGCTTTTATTTTGCCGTCTGTAGCGAGAAATCCCGTTCTTCCCCAAGATTGGACTCTTTGGTGTAAGCCCATTGGCTCAAGGGCCAGTTTAGCCGGGTCATTGAAACCCTTTGCGCCTTGTTCTTGCGCTGGGCTGGGGGCTTGACGACAACGATGTGTGTCTTCGAATTGAAGAAGCTGTTCATGCGGAAAGGAGGATCGGAGTTGATGAAGTGGTGCTCGAAAGTTGATGGTTCAATGTGGAAGACAAGGCATTCGCATTTGTCCTCTGTTTGGGGCTATTATTGACGTCTGGTGTATTCATACCGACCGGAAGAATTGTTTGTCAGATACCCGATGCTCCCCCTCGCGTTGGTAGCTCTATAGACTCGTCTTCCACACTCAGGTGTACGGTTTTCATAATCTGCAACCCTTGAACATGCTCAGATGAGTCAATAATTGGGTCTTCTTCTCCCTCCCAGCCCTTAACTCGCTCTGTTCTCACACTACGGGAGAGCCTGTGAGACAGTGTATCATTCGGATGAGCAGATCTCGACCGAGAATCAGACTTTGACGGCCCCCGATATCTATACGATATCCCCAAATCGTCCTCGTAGACTGCAATGAAAGATTTGAGAAAGGCTGTCAAGAGGAAGACGGCACTGAGCCCTATGTACATCTCTGTTGAGACCGTAGCAAAAGACCCGAGGAGACTTGGATCTTCTGAGGAGAGTTGGGCTAGGACATAGTGTAGACGAACTGCGGCGATGGGGATGAGCCTATCCAGTTAGGTTGGTGTAAGTATAAGAGTTCATTAGATCTATGGTCTCTGCGAAGAAACCTACAAAATCCGACTCTCGAGAGCGCAAAACACGACGATCTTTTGCTTTGTCGAGATTCTGACTTCCCAAATTGCAAGTGCCGCATAAATAATAAGCAAAATTTCGGTGGCAATATCGAGAGCTGTAATGACTTCCCAGCGAGGACGCTGCAGCATGATCAGTGCTTATACTAATTTGCAGTAGGGGGCAGGTCATACCAATCCACTACACTCAGCGGCACTGATATTGGACCAGGGATTGGAGGAACACCGAATTCCCAACAGAAGCGCGGATAGCAATGTCCACGCGACCATTGCCGGAACCATAAAGTAGGAGATTCGAAGTTGAATTTGGGCGAATAGGCCCTCATAGAACATGCAAGCTGTCATCTTTGAAAGGCCGAGCACAACGATAGAAACGAGATCGGCAGCATACACTATCTTCGTATTGTTAAGTACCCTAGAAGATAGAGAGGTTCCTCCACACCGACCTACCTTTAACATTTGTTCTTTTCTCGTGGTCTCGATACCATCGATCTGAGTTCCCCACCCATAGTGAACCTCGCAAAACACGATAATGATCTGGCCGATTGATGCAAGCTATTGATTTGTTAGTCCAGAGGCAAGAAGCTCAAATTTTGTAGTTTACAAAGAGCAGGATAGTACTGTACCACAAGAGCCCCAAATGTATAATCATCTCGCTGCAGTCTATTTCTATGGTACGAAGAGAAGGTGCGCGCTCCGAGAGAAAACAAAACCAGACACAAATTGAACGCAGTGATGACCACAACCAATCCACTATGGTCATGGTCATTATTTGTCGTCAGAGGCGGGCTCACACCCGAAGGCCATGTCTTCAAAGTAACCGACATAACAAGCTAAGAGCCTTGTAAACAGCAACGGGGAAAATTTTGGGACCAGAAATTTTCACATTTTGAAACGTGATCGAAAGGGTTAAGGGTATTTTAATTAATAAATCTGAATGGAAACACAAATCATCAAATGGGATTTGGGGCCGAATTGCCGGAAAGACCCAACGGGCAATCAACCCCTGTTCAGTAGAAAATCCGGACATGTTAAATCGGCAATATGAGCGATTCTAGTGCGCCACCATGCATACTTGACCGGGGTTTCATGTAAAAGAAGTGGGATTTGCACGGGGGGGGGGACAACCGGGTTGCATGGTTTGCAGAGATTGAAATCCTTGCCGATCCTATGAAGACTAGGTACTCCGCTGTGGAAGCGAAAAGGAGCATAAGCCGGCATTTAGGATTTGATTTTCACATTTATATGGCACGTCCCCTCCTTTCCTTAGAAAACTACATCTTGTAAGTCTTGAAGAGCTTGCCGACCTATGCCACTTTGCTAAAGTATCTACGAAGGATGGAATGGACTCCAAACAATGTTTTTCAATGCACCGTTCAGAGTAGGAAATAGAGATAATGGTACTGGTGGGTAAGACTCCCGTTTCCGTTCCTAGTAGTCCAATCAGAGGCCATACACCAGTAAGCGGACGTATAGCGGAGCACGGAGTACGGAGTATTTATTGCCTAAAATGCCATATTTCAGAGCGGCAGGAAATTAAAATCTCTGAACTACTGCAATGTCTCACAACCAAATGACCAAAGTACCCTGCTTCTGCTAGCGTTGCATAGTTGCATCATATGAGGCTTTAGACCCTAGCCACTTCGTGCAAAATAGACGGCTTCCCATGTGGCCCGGTGGAGAATAGTTACTCAAGATTCTACAGCCCCATATTAATTGTCTTGGCTGACTTAGGTACTTTGTACCATCTAAAAAAACTATTCAATGAACATTCTGATATGGTGGCGATGGATTCCCCACTTAGTAAAGGCACGAAGGAACAAATCCATGCAGCCGTAGCCTAGTGCCATCAAAACATGCTTTCTTCGAAATGAAAGCCGCTCTAGGCCCTGGCAAGAAGTTCAAAATTGTGGTATGATTATAAACCGAAACACGCGATCAACTAAATCAGACGGAGTATTCCGTAATTAGCCTTTGAATGCTTCCAGTTTTTCCTGTTCCCCTCGGCGGGGCAGCACAGGCCAGCACGCAGCACGGAGGCGTACTGCAAGGGATCCATTGTTTTACGGGTATTCCGGCCCTTAATCGAGGTCGGAATTAAATACTTTACTCCCATGGCCCCTCAATCCTGGTGAACCTAATCCTATCTCTATCACACGTTTGCTCGGATTGGCATTCATTGGATTATGGAAACTTCAATCAAAGCGACTGCGTTGGAGACGCTGGAACTGAATCAAGATCATTGGAACGTAGAAGTCTCCCAACATGGTGGAACGGCACTAGACGACGATGAAATGCATCGCATGGGAAAAGTCCAACAGTTCAAGGTTAGTTGATTTGCTTTTGCAGGTACAACATCCATAGCTAACGCTCTGCGACTTCAACTAGAGAAACATGCGACCTCTTGCGGCATTGAGCTTTGCATCAGTCTTGCAAGCCACTTGGGAATATCTGATCATGTGAGCAAATCATAATATCCTTAATCGACGGGGATGCAAGACATACATACTAACCCCTGCCAGTTCAGACTACCAGGGATTGGAGAATGGAGGCCTAGCGGGCATGTTCTGGTCATATATGTGGACTTTTGTCGGATTCGGATTCATCATTGCGTCATTGTCGGAAATGGCCTCGATAGCACCAACCGATGGAGGTCAGTACCATTGGGTATCCGAATTTGCCTCGCCTCGACACCAAAAATTCCTTAGCTACGTGACTGGCTGGATGTCGGTACTCGCATGGCAAGCCGGAACAGCTTCTGGATCCTTCCTCACCGGCACCATCATCCAGGGATTGATCAGTGTTCGCAATCCGGATTACGATCCTAAAGGCTGGCAAGGCACTCTCCTAGTGTTCTCGATGGTTCTGGTGACATACATTTTTAATGTCTATGCGTCAGACCTGATGCCAATCTTGAGTAACATCTTGATGATTCTTCACGTTCTTTCCTGGGCGGTTATTTTGATTGTCCTGTGGGCTATGTCTCCTCATCGATCTGCCAAAGATGTTTTCGTCTCGGATTGGGAAAATCTAGGAGGGTTACCTACGATGGGAGTGAGTGTGATGGTTGGACAAATCTCAGCTATCTATGGCTGTCTTAGTATGTTTCACTTGCCACATGAGGTTGGAAAAGTGGCTAATTAAATTACAGGTTCCGATGCCTGTGCGCATATGTCGGAAGAAATTAAGGACGCCGGCCGGAACGTACCACGGGCTATGGCTTGGGGATACTTCAGCAATGGAATCATGGCTGCTATCTTGTTGGTTGCCTACCTCTTCGCCACTCCCTCCGTTCAGGATTCTCTTAATGACCCCACCGGATTTCCATTCCTCTACGTGTTCAAGCAGGCCACTAATACGGCGGGAGTCAACGGGTTAACAGCCATCATATTGCTACCTGTCATTTTCAGTAACATCATGTTCAATGCCTCCACCTCTCGCCAAACTTGGGCTTTTGCTCGTGATAAGGGTCTTCCTTGCTCTCAATGGATTTCCAAAATTGATCCCAAGCGTAAGATCCCCGTCAATGCTATCGCCCTCTCTTGCATACTCAGCTGCCTGCTTTCTCTGATCAACATCGGCTCTGATACTGCATTCAACGCCATCATCTCTGTCAACACTGCTGCTTTGATGTTCACCTACATCATCTCGATGACCTGTGTGATCTGGCGAAAGATCTGGCATCCAGATACCCTGCCCGTTCGTCGGTGGGATATGGGACGGACCTGGGGATTAGCCGTAAACATCATTGGCCTGTGCTACTCCTTTTTCGCGATGTTCTGGTCATTCTGGCCAGGTGAGCTGCCAGTCACTGCTGAAAATTTCAACTGGAGTGTCGTGATCTTCGGGGCGGTTTTTATTCTTAGTCTTGTCATGTATGTCATTAGGGGGCGGAGAGAGTATTCTGGCCCAGCTGTGAATGTCAAGCATGAGGACTAGATTGGTGTACAGCTGAGCTGACCCATGATATGACCTGGGTTTTGAATTTTTTTTTGTTTTTTATGTACCTAGTTAATTTTACCCATTCACATACCACAATTTTTTAAAAACCGTGAGATCGCCACATTCGGTGTTCGTGGGGCATCCAATATTGCAAGTTCGACGGTGTGTTATAGTATAATTCTATGGCATTATACTACGGGGTGAAAGAGATCAGATATAATTTACCTGTACTGCCCAAGAATATTTAGATACCCTATTTACAGTCAAACTTAAACTGCGACTCACTTTCAGTTGACATAACTGGCGAGATCATGAAGCACCTAACATATGCCTCGTACTTCACTATGAAGATGCAGCACCGAGGAAATTTCTTTGGAGAGGTTGCAAGGGTTTCTTAATAGCTCCTAGAGCTTGCTGGGGCCATCACACCCATTTGGAAAGCAGCAGGCGATTCCGATAATGGCAATTAGGTCAGGTGTGGAGGGCAGACGACGTCCATGGGGTAACATCATGATTACTGAGGTCCATCACAATTATTCTGCATGGTTCCATGTCTTTGAGTTATGTTTATCGTCTCATTGATGCTTATAACTATCTGGGGTCACATCAACCAAGTTGATATGCAACCGAAAATCTCCGAACACAACAACACGCTGACTTCTATAATCTACACATACGCTCTAGGTTGAGTCCTAGTGGGTGAAATTCTTGTAGAGAAATAGAGGTACAACAAACCTTTTACCACTGCCACGTGAGGTTCGGATCCATCATCACGGCTGAGCCTGGGAACATCTGACTGGGCCCTATTAAAGGGAATCCACAATTAAAACTCTCATCCAAACTGTGTCCATCGAGAACTGCAGCCGGAAAGGGCATCTGCGGGGCTAATTTATTGTAAATAAGGACAGGAGAAGAAATCAATAAGGACGACCAACCTGAGATTAGGGCTGAGTCATCGTGCACAGCTTGGCCCTCTGTTATGGAATTAAGCTGGTTGTGGTAAAGATGATCTTATTACTATAGAGTTGTTGCGTAGGATAAGTACGCTGCTTAATAATACGTATGTCATCATCCATCCCTCACACCCTCTGCACCCATGCTAGAATTAGCCGACTTTTTAGCCAGAACATTGCCGAGAGTGTCTGCTGCTGTCTTTGCTTCTACCGATGAATTCCCTGACCTTGACCAGATACCATGTGCCCTTGTTAACGCTGCCATGATTTGGTCCAAGTTGTGGCCATCAGCCAGAACCGCTGGATTGCCATATCTCTGTCGTGTGAGAAAGCACAGCATCATCGTGGCTGTTAAAAACTCATGCTTCATGAATGAGGAAGTTGGCCATCGCATCATATAAAGCTGCCCATCCGGGATAGTTTCCTCGTCGAGGATTCGCTGGATCTCCAAAATACCCAACGCTGCCTTTATGCAAGAGCTACGCGAGTAGGAGTACGATGTCTGGTTATCGGAAGTTGCGACTAGGCTCGGGGTTAGATTCTTGTAATGTAGCATCATTTGACCCTTGTGGAACATCAGCCTGAGAAAGAGCCGATTCATAATCACTTGTGGGGGATCGGTCACGGCCGCAGCCATTGTCTTCATCCGGAGGTAGGCAGGAACCGTTGTGTCTGCGTCATGCAGAATGCGATCTAATCGCATTACCTCGTCGTATGCTACCCGTCGCACTGACGCGGTGAAATCGATCATCGCTCCCAGGGAGGCAAATATACGCCGCCGAGCGACCAGATGCGAAACTGTAGTCATCTCCATCTCTGGTCTGGACGGGGGAAGCTCGGAGCAATCCTCATCGAAGTCCGAGTCATTCAGATTACGGGGTTCTGCCGTATCACATTGCCAAGCCTTGATCATACGCGGCATGCCGATCTGGGTGGAAATCAGGATGTCTCCCTGCAGTATCGTGGCCCATAACCGCCGTCGCATCTCTCCCGCAAATGGGGAGATCCCTGGCAAGTGCGACAGATCCCGATGGTAACCCATGCGCAAAGCTATATTGACCGAGATTCCCAACAGGATCCAGATATCTCGATCGGCATCCTTCTGAATAGAATACTCGACGGTCAAGTAGTGGTACAGCGTTTCAAGAACGTAACGCCCGGATTTCGCTTTGGTGTATTCGCCCAGAATGAGACACTGTACTATCTTTTCGCGGTAGGTATCCGCCAATGGATTCCGGACGCCGGGAGATGGGCGGGAGTCTGCTGCACTTGAAGCCAGCACCACGAGACATATCATAGAGAAGAGGAGACCCAGCCACATAACTGAGGTCTGGGACGGATTCTCCCAGAACCGTTCATACTACAGTAGTAATTGTTAGAGCTATCACACTCTATTCATTGTTTTGGAAATGTTGTCCGCATACCTCGCGTGAAAATTGACCACTGTGCAGACATGCTGAAGAGGATGATACCCTGTGTCAGTTAGTGTTCGCATATTGAATGTCAGGGGCTTAAATGGCGCCACGTCCAATCGATTGAAGTACTGAGAAATGTAGCGATTGACAGCAGTTCTATCGGGTAGAGCCGCCAAGATCTCATCTTTACCTATAAAGTATAACTTATTACTTGTGGCCTTCGTTAGGTTAAAGATCTAGATTTCTACGAAGTCTATACTATTATCGCTAAGCCTAGATCTTTTAAGATATTAATTGTAATTGCTATAGTAAAAGGCTAGTGTATATATTATATTAATGTTATGTTACGCACTGCCTAACTGGTCACAGTTATGTTAGAAGCTTCCCTGATTATT